TTAAAATATACGTTGTTTTTTCAGCGAGCTGACTTGGAGAATTGATTGTGTACTAGTTTTAAATCGAGAAGATGTTTAAATATTTCATATACTGTACGCAAGTACAGAAATGCCAAGTGCTTAGGCATGCCTAAGCAACTTTCTCTTTTCGAATGAAGATAAGAGTGTAAAGCTTAGAAGCCTACCATATATTTGAATCTATTGAGAGATCGCATAAGTTCCACCAAACCCCAGTCTTTTGATAGCGTGCGATAAAATTTCAGAGGTCTCCTTCTCAATTACTTCTAAAATGTACGCTTTTTCGTCAGCGAGCTTACTAAGAGAATTGATTATGTACTAGTTTTAAATCGAGCAGATGTTTAAATATTTCATATACTGTACGCAAGTACAGAAATGCCAAGTGCTTAGGCATGCCTAAGCAACTTTCTCTTTTCGAATGAAGATAAGAGTGTAAAGCTCAGAAGCCTACCATATATTTGAATCTATTCAGAGATCGCATAAGTTTCGCCAAACCCCAGTCTTTTGATAGCGTGCAATAAAATTTCAGAGGTCTCCTTCTCAATTACTTCCAAAATGTACGCTGTTTCGTCAGCAAACTATAATAGAGAATTGATTATGTACTACTTTTGATATTAGCAGATGTTTGAATATTTCATATACTGTACGCAAGTACAGAAATGCCAAGTGCTTAGGCATGCCTAAGCAACTTTCTCTTTTCGAATGATGATAAGAGTGTAAAGCTTAAAAGCCCACCATTTATTTAAATCTATTGAGAGATCACATAAGTTTCACCAATCCCCAGTCTTTTGATAGCGTGCAATAAAATTTCAGAGGTCTCCTTCTGAATTACTTTTAAAATATACGTTGTTTTTTCAGCGAGCTGACTTAGAGAATTGATTATGTACTAGTTTTAAATCGAGCAGATGTTTAAATATTTCATATACTGTACGCAAGTACAGAAATGCCAAGTGCTTAGGCATGCCTAAGCAACTTTCTCTTTTCGAATGATGATAAGAGTGTAAAGCTTAAAAGCCTACCATATATTTGAATCTATTGAGAGATCGCATAAGTTTCACCAATCCCCAGTCTTTTGATAGCGTGCGATAAAATTTCAGAGGTATCCTTCTCAATGACTTCCAAAATGTACGCTGTTTCGTCAGCGAGCTTACTAAGAGAATTGATTATGTACTAGTTTTAAATCGAGCAGATGTTTGAATATTTCATATACTGTACGCAAGTACAGAAATGCCAAGTGCTTAGGCATGCCTAAGCAACTTTCTCTTTTCGAATGAAGATAAGAGTGTAAAGCTCAGAAGCCTACCATATATTTGAATCTATTTAGAGATCGCATAAATTTCACCAAACCCCAATCATTTGACAGCGTGCAATAAAATTTCAGAGGTCTCCTTTTCAATAACTTTTAAAATATACGTTGTTTTTTCAGCGAGCTAACTTAGAGAATTGATTATGTACTAGTTTTAAATCGAGCAGATGTTTAAATATTTCATATGCTGTACGCAAGTACAGAAATGCCAAGTGCTTAGGCATGCCTAAGCAACTTTCTCTTTTCGAATGAAGATAAGAGTGTAAAGCTCAGAAGCCTACCATATATTTGAATCTATTAAGAGATCGCATAAGTTTCGCCAAACCCCAGTCTTTTGATAGCGAGCAATAAAATTTCAGAGGTCTCCTTCTCAATTACTTCCAAAATGTACGCTGTTTCGTCAGCGAGCTAACTTAGAGAATTGATTATGTACTAGTTTTAAATCGAGCAGATGTTTAAATATTTCATATACTGAACGCAAGTACAGAAATGCCAATTTCTTAGGCATGCCTAAGCAACTTTATCTTTTCGAATGAAGATAAGAGTGTAAAGCTCAGAAGCCTACCATATATTTGAATCTATTGAGAGATCGCATAAGTTCCACCAAACCCCAGTCTTTTGATAGCGTGCAATAAAATTTCAGAGGTCTCCTTCTCAATTACTTTCAAAATATTCGTTGTTTTTTCAGCGAGCTAACTTAGAGAATTTATTATGTACTAGTTTTAAATTGAGTAGATGTTTAAATTTTTCTTATACGTACACAAGTACAGAAATGCCAGCTGCTTAGGCATGGCTAAGCAACTTTCTTTTTGCAAACTGATTGATAATGGTGAGGCTTATAGAATAGACATCTCAGTTAAGAGTTCTAAAAATAAGAGTATCAAGCGTCTCTCTTGGACTAAAATTTATAACAATAAAAGCCTTAAAATGTCAGTTTGAAGGTGAAACAGCAACGTTCAATCGCAATTACTGTGAATTCTAAGAATATTTTTTTTTTTTCTGTGTGGAATTATATGAATGTCACTGTTTACCATTATTACGCACGGTTCGAACACTTGTACCTACCGCGCGGGAGAGATTACGAGATCGAATATGTATTCGCGTATTCGTATGTATAGCGACCACATTAAATATGCATATACGCGTCCGAGCGCTCCGGTCATTTTAGCGCGCGCGCAGATTAGCGATTCGGCGACTTTCCTTACTGCCACTTTCTTCTGTCATTTTCATCGGATTGATTCCAATGCTCGACCGAGTAAAAAGGGTTCGGAAGCAGTGCTGGCTCATATGATACCAAAACCAACTTCAAGGGGGCGCGGCAAGCAACTTAAGCCTGTAATGGATAAGCAACATTTAGTCCTTCTGTTACACCAAAGTCTTCGTGGTCGAGTGGTCAAGTGCTTGGCTGTGTCTGCCACTCGAGCGGTCGGGCCTTGTTTCAATTTTTTTTACATTTTTTTCTCAAATTACAAAGAATAAAGTAAGGATTTCGCTTCTCTAACTTTATTTAACCAAATTGACACGAAATTTTTTTCGAGGCGTCTATGTATACATTAATTTAATTTAATTTGCATTCGAATTAAATGTGATTTTTTATTTTTTTGTAGAAAAAAGAACATGAAAAAAAACGTTTGATTATCAATGCAATTTTAATTTTACGACCAATATCAGCTAAAAACGAAATCCTTATTTTATTCCTCGTAATTTCAGAAAAAAATTCAAAAAAAAATATCCGCGGCCTAGGATTATTGAACTATGGTCTGACCGTTCAACGTAAATTACATTGCCGAGCGCATAACCACTCGACCACGATACCTATGGAGAACGTGGACTAAATGTTAGTTATACATTACAGGCTTAGGTTGCTCGCCGCGCCCCCTTGAAGTTGGTTTTGGTACCATATGAGCCAGCCTCAATCGCGCCTATAGTTCTGTGCTTCTATACGTGTCCATCTTTTTTGAAAATACAACAATTTTGCGCCAGAATTAAAGTTTGACAACTTATTCTTATCAAGCAAGCTCTATCTTGAACGAATGCAAGATTTTCGAGTCTGGGCACTAGGAGCTCGAGTTTTTCACTTTCATGGGCGCATTCCGTTTATAGAAATGACCCAATGCATTCAGTTAATGCTACTCAGTGAGATAGATTACCTGGAAAAATTTACAGAAATCAAAAGTACAGATTCATACATTGTTTATTTTTTATTTTTTTCAGATTTTCATGCATCAGGATGTTTTGGGTCAAGTTTTTCTCGATTCGTGTTTGAAAATTCACATCGACATTGATGGCTGATCGATATTTGCCTGACTACATTCTAATTAGAAAAGTGATATTATTTTAAACAAATTTTCGAACTTTGTGGGGTACAGATTTCCTGTAAAAAATTACTTTGTAATGGTTTACGTTTAATTTACATGAGCAAATTGTCTGTATGTGTATTTTTGCGTATGCTGCAGCCTTGGACATACAGGGTGCGACTAAAGTATGGAAACCCCTGGAAATATCGCAGAGTATTCAATAAAAAAAAATCAAAGACCCTATATCGGACGTATTTTTCGACGAGGAATTTGATGGTGACCTTGAATTTGACCTTGAACATAACCTTAAAGCTGCAGCGACTCAAAAATCAATTTTTCCAATGTTACCCCCATTTTTTATTGCAGATTTGAAAAGAGCGGAAAATTTCACGTCAAAATGTATGTTTTGTTTTTTTTTTTAAAGACCATTTTAAGGGTGCTACAGGCTCAAATAAAACCCCGATTTAACCTAAAATTAAGCTCGGAAGAACTTCATTTTCTAACTGTAGCGCCCCTAAAAATGGTCTATAAAAAAAAACAAAACATACATTTTAACGTGAAATTTTCCGCTCTTTTCAAATCTGCAATAAAAATGGGGGTTACATTTGAAAAATTGATTTTTGAGTCGCTGCAGCTCTGAGGTTATGTTCAAGGTCAAATTCAAGGTCGACATCGGATTCCACCTCGAAAAATACGTCGGATATAGGGTCTTTGATTTTTTTGTAACTAATACTCGGCGATATTTCCAGGGGGTTCCATGATACTTTTGTCGCACCCTGTATAAGGTACAGCCCGCCGCAGTCTATCTCTTATGTCTATGGCTGCACTGGCTGGATGTGCGAAGAACACGAGAAAACGACACATGAAAAAATTATTTATGTATACATTGTAATAATTTATATCTATTCCGAATTGACCCTAGCTTAAAAAAAAATAGAAATAAACTTCTGAAAAATAACATATTCTTGATGAGTAGTACTTTTATTATGATAAAGCTATGATTATTTTTAACGATTTTTCAGCGTTTCAGATACTCGGTATAGATATAAGAGATAGTTATCGCTATGTGCATGTTTAAAATCGATCGGCGCAGCAGTACCGCTCAGTTCGCTTTATTTGCCCTGGTGTCGCGTAAAGTTGAAACTGTTGGGGCAACCTTTTGCTGCAAATCGAGCCTCTATTTAAGTTTTTACATAGGCTCAAATTTTATCGGCTAAGGAATTTAAATTTTTCACTCGAGCTCGATCTGTTTGCCGTGAAAAGTTTCGTGCGTAATCGTTGAAGTCGTATGAAATTTCTTTAAACGCTATGTTTCCGTACCCCTCTAAAATGGTCGAGTGGAACTTGGTGGATATTTAGTTCGATTCATTCGGCCAAAAATGAATAAGTTAAAAATCAATAAGTTAAATCCTGACAATATAATACTCAACAACGAGCACAGTGTCAACGATAAAAACACCTGGTGCGCTCTGGTTCAAGTTTACCAAGAGTTCTCCAAGGAGTCGACCGTACATGGAATTAAATACACGACTCAGGCCAAGACAACCGTTGAAAAGTTGTTCATTTCATTGAGTTGCAACACTATCATTTGTCAAGTAAAAACTGATGTTTTAATTTCACAGATTTTTGTGGTTGACCGTGGTAGTTATTTCTTTGGTCGCCTCGAGCGAACTGGCCAATAAATTTTACAAACGCCACGAATCGGCGAACATGCGCACCACCGTCGTCTCCAATCAGTTCCCGTCGCTGAGAATTGCCATTCCGGCCTTCACCATCTGCCAAGGATACCTGGTGTCGGCGGAACGCCTCGAAGCTCTGACGAACGGAAAAACGCCGTTGTAAGTGTTACAGCGCGATGAACCCTATACACGTATGTGTGTATCGATGCGTAAACCCGCAAAAAATCATATGCAGAAAAATTCCCGCCGACGCGCGAGCCGGAGACCTGGAGCGCGGCGTCGCACATCTGCGCGAGATCGTACATCCCGAGGGCGAGCGGCGCGCGATCCCGGAACTGGAGAGGCTGCAGCGGATCCTCGACGCCAACGGCATGAGCCTGGCCGGGCTGCTCGAGGCCGTGTCACCGAGGTGCGGCGATCTGCTGGCCGGCTGCGTCTACGAGGGCCGCCTCCAGGCCTGCGAGAATCTCTTCGTGCCGACCGTGACGAGCCATGGCATCTGCTGCTCCTTCAACAACGCGGCTCAGAAGAGATCGAGTCTCTCGCAAAGGTATATACATCGTCGCTCCTCACGAGGAAAAGCACAGTAAAAAACGCTGTGATAAAAACTTGTGGGCTGTAAAAAAAGAGTTGTGTTTTTTTTCTTACAAAAAGGTTTTTTTCATGGCGTTTTTCACTGTCGCTGCTTACTCGCGCGACTATAACTTTGGAATTTTGTCAATCGTGAATCGTTATTATATAGGAAAGGATCCGAGGCCGCGGCGAGTGGCAAAGATCGGTACAGCATCAATTTCGGCTCGCAGTACATAATGTCGGTACTGCTCAAGAGCAGCAAAGCCGAGGATCGGCTCGCCTCGTTCGCCTACAATACCGGCTACAAAATTTTGATCCACGAGAGGCACACCCTGCCGGGACCGAACTCGCTGGACTTGGTAGTGGCGGCGGGCTACGAGACCATCGTGAGCCTGCACGGCACTCTGCTGACCAGCAGTCCGGAGGTGCTCGATTTGCCGGCGCACCAGCGAGAGTGCAGGTATGTACGTTGACGCGATGCTATATATTTTTCAAATTTTACACTTCGATTCGAGCGCAGAAAATCGCAGCAGTCGAGCTCGATCTACCGATCGGAGAATTGCTACATGCGCTGCAGAGACCGGGCGATTCGTCGGAGCTGCGGCTGCGTGCCTTTCTACGCCAACGACGCGGAATCGGTCCAAGACTCGTGCAACTTGACCCACGTCCCCTGCTTGGCTCGCATCGTATCCAACGTCTACTCGATGCCCCTGAGAAATCCCGGCTGCGACTGCTTGCCCGACTGCGAAAGCACCAGGTACACGGCGTCCATAACCGGTCAGCCGCTCGAGGCGGCCAAATTCAAGCCTGGCAGATTTTTGTGAGTCTACTTATTTATCGTTCTTGGACTCGTCTTGTATGTACGTGCACTTTTAAAATTAATTTTGCAATTATCTCATTGTACCGTATAGCGAACTGGCGCAGAAAATTCCCAACTCGACTGCTCTTCACGTGACTTTCGCCGATCAGACGGCGACTCTGGAGCGACGAGAGTTGGTTTTGTCTTGGATTAATCTTGTCTGTAAGTAATCGATCATTATGACATAAAGTATCGATTCAATTGCTCTTTTTGTACGTGTGAAAACATTGATGTATAGATTCAACAGTTTCACATAAATAATTCAATTCATTTGTACTTCTAGCATCTCTGGGTGGCGTTTTCAGCTTATTTTTGGGATGCAGTTTCATTTCGGTGATTGAATTTTTTTATTTCTTTTTCTACCAACTAATTTTAAAATTGAAGTTTAAAAATACACGTAACGATATTCAGAAATAAAAAATAATATTTACTGTGATATAAGACTTTGTAAAAACCACATAAAAAAATCATGTATCGAGTTAATTATACAATTGGAAAAATTGACAAGTTTTCTATAATTTCATTTTCATTTTAACCCCAACCATTTGGAGATCCTCAAAATATTCTGTAAAAAGCATTGATACTTGATTTCCGCTTAGGTCTAACTCTTAATGTGGGCTGACTAACACTTGCTAAAAATGCTTTCAATTCTAATGCAGTACCCAGTTGAAAAAAATGGCGTCGATTTCTACGTGGAGTATACACACAGATTCCGCGTGGAAAGTACGTGGAATCCACAAGGAAAGTGCATTGATTCCATGTGGAATCTGCGTGGGTTATTTTTGTAAAAATCTGCTAAGATATCTTGAAAACTTAATTTCACGCTCGTATCCTTTTTCAAGGAATAATCGAAAAGTCTTGGCAGATTTTTACAAAAATGATCTACGCAGATTCCACATGGAATCAATGCACTTTCCTTGTGGAATCCACGTACTTTCCACACAGAATCTGCGTGGATAATCCACGTAGAAATCCACGCAATTTTTTTCAACTGGGTATAAGAGCACCTATGACAAAATAAATAGAGCGAATTTATCAAGTTCTTTAGATCACATACTTAATCATTTTCAGTGAATATAATTCTATTTTCTACTAATCACACTCAAATCAAAACATCCTTATAAGATGTTTCTTTCCTCTTACTCTGCTATTACTCTGTATTTTATAAACTACAATATCTTTCCAATTCCGTCATCTAGTCAATTCTCTTTTAGTTCAAGTGTGTCTAAGCTAAGTAAATTACTAAGAACTAAAGAAGTGAATGTTAAACAATAAATAACTATTAATGTAATCTGTAGCTGTATTCTATTGCTGATCATAAGATTTATTTACTATTACCAGACTTTCTTTCTTTTTTAGTACTAGTGTTTCTATAAAAGCTACATTTTTGTCAAATTTGTGATTGTCAAACAGTATAAAACTGTACTTTAACTTTGATATTTACATTACTTCTATGAAATATGGGATGATTCTTCATCAGAACGAAATAAATATAAGATCAAGAAAATATTAACTCTGTTTTTGATTTAAAGCAATATTAAAATCAAAACAATTTGAAAACAATTCGAAAGATTTGGTATTGATATCTAGTTTCTGACTCAATATTCACCAAAAATGTATTTGGGTAAGGCTCAGAATTTTTTAAATAAACCTGCGCTCGTATGTCAC